TAAGGACGGCTAGCGCAGATAGCCCTCGTGTAGCTTTGTGCGAAATTCAAAAGCAAACAAACATATTAACTTAGTTATATAGTGGGTTACAGTAAATAAAATTTCATGTATATCCTTAAAGAAATCTTCACTACTATTAAGTGAGAGTCAGCCATTAACTTGCCCTAACTTTACCAGAAGACTTTTATCCATGTACATTTTAACAAAACCAATAACATTTTGATACACACCGAAAACTTAGAACAACTGCCATTTCTTAGTGAAATCTGAAACTTTGATTCCAGGTTTAAGATTTGAAATCCAACAGACAACACATGAAGTTACCTAAACACAAAACTTTGTGAAAATTGTATTTGTTCTTTTTTTTCGGGAAATAATCACGACTATACTAGAGAACGTGTATGATTTTATAAAATGATTTTCCTCATATATTTTATACATAATGTTTTGCATAAATTAATGCCACGAAATCAATGATCTTAATATTTTTAATTGTGTTTGAAATAACTAACAGCTGGCAAAAGATGAACATTCAAGCTCTTCAAAGTTAGTGTGAGGTATAATGTTTCACATATCTTTTGCCGGTAACCATTTTTAAATACTAAGAACACAGTAGTACATTTTGTTTCAAAATAAGAATTCCTTTTCTCTAGATCAAGAGATTTTTCGTTTGCAAGTGTTTCCAAGACAGAGGTTCGAGATTGAGGCAGTTGATAACAGCCTCAGTGACATCCAATATTTCAAGTACGAGGAAATAGATCAACATTCTGTGGCTATCAAAGTTGCCAAATCGTTAGACGATTTGGTGGATAGGGTAAGTGCTGCTTACTAAACTTTAAATGTCTATAAAGAACTTGTACTCTTCGAAGTAACATAAGAAACATAAAAAGGAAAATTATACCATGAAAATACTTAAATCAGTGTTTTCCAAAAATAAAACAGTTAAATTAAAAAATTAAGGTAGGTAGAATTTAATGAATGAGACATGATTAAAGAAGATATATGAACACAATTTAAATCTTTCATTTAACCAAATAAACTATAAAATGATATTGCAAAAGTCTACCGGAATCTATAATAATAATTCTTAGTATTTACAGTGTATTCTATGCCTTTTCAAGACTTTCTTAATTCTCTCAGAAATGTATTTAATAAGGCACTGAATGGTCGAGGTGTTCTTCAGGTTCCTCCATGCAGCCCTTAAACGTAACATATTCAGCAGGTTTCATTCGACTTTATGAATCAAAAAATGGATAATTCTGAGGTGATGCAAGACGTTTAGCCACAGCTGTAGACATCAACAGCGCAGCAGGCTTTTAACGTTTCATTATTAAATGACTCATGCTTCGCTAGTTTCAGTTTTTACGTCCGCTATGTAGTATCAACTTGTTTAAAAAATTCATATCTCCTGTCTAATGCTTTTGCGCTTGTTGTAAAGTAATCATCTTGTTTAAACAATGCTTATCTCCCAACTAAAGTTTTTCGCCGTTGAATAAGTATAACAAGTTGTTCATAATTTCATCACTATATTATATTATTTTGTGTCGGCTGTACAATCAGCTAATTCGTATTACAAAGGGAACATTATAATTGAAAACGATGATATTTGCTGCGTTATTTAACTTATTTTATTGTTTTGTAAGAAAACTCAAATGACGACATCATTCTCAACTTTGAATGCCACTTACCAGTGAGTAATGGCAGTCCCACTGTTAGTGGATCAGTTTGTGCAACATTTTGCCCAGGAGTGTATGTCAGTAACTCTAATCTGTGAGTAAATGTGTAAAAGTTAATCCAAATGGGAATTGTTATTTCCAATTTGTGACTCGGTATTTATCAAAAAGCTAATCTACAATGAAGACAAATTGCTGAATTTCTGAGACTCAGCACTGTATTCTGGAGATAGTATGCATAATATTACTTGTATTCTGCTTACACGTTTAACCCGTCATCAACCTATAATTTGGGAAATCATTAAATTCAGTGAAACTTTCTACAGAGTATATCATTGTAATTCACGAATCAGATTATATTCTTAATCCATCTACAGTTTAGGATGTTACCTACAATCTGAAATTCAGCCTGTATTTATAAAAGATCGTGTCTTTGTGTGTGTGACCGCCATAGCTCCAAGAGGAAAGAACCTAGAAACCTGAAAGTCTGTACCCATACTAAGTGGACCCTGAGGGTATGCACCTGGGTATTATTATTATTTATCTTAACCACGTGCGAGTGCGCATCTTTTTAATGAGGCAAGCAAACGAAAAACTACATAGAAAAGAAGTGGTTCCTTACATTACAAATAGAACTCACAGGCAGACAAACATGCTCTTTTACTATAGACGTATAGTCCGTAAAATATGACGAGGCAAGTACAACCTCCCTATTATATACCCTGTAGTATATCAGTTAGATTAACAACTTCTAATATACAGAAAAGGCAATGCGTTTTGGTAACAATGCGTTCCAACAATGGCTTTTATGTTACGTTGCTTAGTAACACAAGTATAACCTAATATTGCTATTAGTCTATGTACTGAAAGTATAAAATGAAATGTTTAAACAACAAAGCTACAAAAATAGTTGTTGATTTCGTAATTTAGAGTCTCCGTTGATTAAAGAGTGTTGTCTTTTATTAAAAACGTTTGTGATACATTTACTATCTTCACATAAGCTGGCTCTTTTTTTTCCAGTGTGAAAATACAAAATTAACGTTTTGAACACCAGCTTTAGTCAATATTTTCCCATAAGTTATCGGTTGTTTGTCATCTTTGGTTAGTGCACTACAAAAACTAGAAATACACTAGACAACTAAAAACACAATGACAGAATATGATAAAATGTTGTGTTTGTCAATCTGAGGCTAACGTTTCATCAAACAGGTTGTTACCTACACACATTTATCTATCCATACATAAAACTGTTCCAATTTTCTAGTAAACTCGGTTGTTACGAAGTGCATTCCATGGGTTTGGCCAAAACCCTCTCACGCCTGAAAACAACCAGTTTAAACTACTTTTTCAAACACTTCTAAGCTATAGCAACTATCGCGTACATGAAAGCATCCGAATTTTTAACCGAATACTTGGCCAGATAAACGTCTGTGGCGAAAGACTCGTAAAATTAATTCTAGTAGCGCTTTCAGATGGAGAAAAATATTGTTATCTCGAGTTGTTTGAATCATTACTGACGCTTATTACAAGTTATTAATGATGTATAGTCGAAAAATGACAAAATCACAATATAACGCCCAACGGTGCCATAAATTAGAAGTAATAAAAATAGTCATGCTATAAGTCATGTTTTCAAAGTACCTACTCTAAGAACGTTGGACATATCAAAGGTCGTTAATTGATAGATCATGATTTTAGCGTAAGCAGCGTGGTTTACTCCCCCCCCCCAAAAAAAGAACGCTGGGAAGTAATGAACATGATCAAGCTACGTGTTACTAATATATTCAATACCGTAAATACATCATAAAACATACAACTGCAGTTTTAGGCTGTTTGTACTTGTTAGTGATCAAATAACAAAAGTATGTTATTTTGTCTGATTGATCTTACACTACACAACAACATAAGCTTTTCCTGATTAATCTTACTTCATGTAATAACGTAAACGTATTTTAATTGATCATGCACAACAACATGAGCTTATTCTGGTCGATTTTATACTCACAGAACAACACAAGCGTATTCTGATTGATCTTATACTTACATAATAACATAAGCTAATGTTTGTTGACAAAATTCTAACATTGTATTTTTGTATCACATAGTTGTATTTCTTACCATAAATGGCCTGTATGTTCAAATACTCGTATATCTTTAGATTATTTTGTATAACAACTATTTACTATCGGTTACTAAAAACGATATTATTATTTTTCTTTGCAGAGTGAGCCACACAGTGTTTTAAAGTTCAAGTTAACATGCAAAGGAGACAGTGGCACGGTATGTTAGAAGTTGTTTGTAAAGGGGACTTACTAGAACTCTAAATTTAATGTTTGATATAGAGGTAATCGGTAAAACTTTAAATATTATCTTGAAGTTGTATGGTAACAATAGAATGCTAAATTTGAATTTTTATATATTGGTGACGGTAGAACACTAAATTTAAACTTTAAACTACTAGACAAAAAATACATTATACGTTCAGGACAAGGTTATTACCAAAAGAAATTATGAATACCTCTTGTTTCAACTGGTCTTTCCTCACTAAATGCTGCAGAGTCAGTATATATCTATAACTTGTTAATATTTGGTTTTTCTTTGAGTCGTATTAATTTGATAATTAAAAGCTGAAATGTTGATTGAAAAGGTATATATGACGTTTATAACTGAAGGTCACAGCTTAGGCTTTTAGCGCAGTGATATTTAATAATTTCACGTTTACTACTGAAAATATTTTATACATTTGTTCATACTGTGAGATATTTTTTCTTGTAAACATGTGTTCATACTTTCACTATTGTTTAGGACAAAATCGTCATGCCTATTACTTTTTCTACTCTGTGTATTTTTCTTTTTACAAAATTTGCTGCCTCTTAAGGTATATATTGACATACCTGATTTTTTTATCTGTTCTTTAGGAAGAGGTCTTCCTGCCCGTTACAGTGTATATTGAAGATATCAACGATCATGCCCCGCAGTTCGAAAACACGCCCTATCATTTAGCTGTAGACGAGGTAAGAAACCTTGTATTCTTATAATAGCTGACTTTACTGATAAATGTATCATGGAAAGTATTTGAGATACGTCTATCATCTATGAAAGGGAGTAAATAATTTATTATCATACAAATACAAACAGTAGAGGAAGGATTCTTTTAATACTTGTATGATATGTACATGTATTACATGTTTTTACAACTTCAAAGCTCCGGGTAAAGCAAGTTATTTTAATTATTTTTATGATCATAAAATCGTGAGGTGAATTTTTAGTTTTGTTTCGTTAAAATACACAAAAACTTACTTTCTTCCTTTTATTTGCAGCTAACTCCCGTAGGACTGACAATTTTTCGAGGGATTCACGCAGTAGATCGTGATAAGCCCAATACTGCCAATTCGGATGTTACCTATTCCATCGTGGTAAGTCAACCATGCTTACAGTAAACTTACAGTTTACCTGCTGATTTTAGACAACATTAAGAATCTCACCATTTACAGCTAAGTCTATTGACCTACGTATTTCATACACACACACACATATATATACATAGGCGTACGGAGGATTTTTCAGAAGGGGGTTATACAATTTTTCCCCGACTGAAGTTATGAGTAAGAAACTTCTGCTACAAGTTATATATATATATATATTATGTGTTCATTTCTTACCCTCTTTCGTTTGTAATCTTATTTTATAACTGAGAAGTAAAGTTTCGTTCTGTTCTCTTTCTGCGAGATTTCTTTTTACACGAAAATATGTTATTTTTTATAGGATAAATACATAGTTAACTAAGGTTTTAATTTTTAAAGTGGGTTAGACTTATTGTTGCGGACAGCAGCCATGTCACACAAAACACGAGGGAATATACTTAACAGCGTATATACATATATAGATTATACATGTACGAATTCGGGTCTATTGAAATAAAGTCATGTAATCTGCCTGTGCTTTACATATACATGCAACAATTTTCTATTTACTATTAAGATTACTATACTTATTTCTCTAAGTTTCAAATATAATTGGTTGTAAACCCAAACATAATCAACTTTTATATTTATATCAATTACTATTTTACTAAACATAAATGATAAAAAAGTACAGTTATTATAATTTATGGGAAATTTTTGATGGCATTATTTTACTTGCACTGCTTAATTTGAATTACTTTTACATGTTTAAAAAATTATCTTCATATTTAATAATGCTATAACATAGCAATATATATAATAATGTTTCCAGCATAAGGCAAGGTCGTTTTGATGCTCTTTTTCTCTAACTACATATATATTTTTCTTTAGGGTGGAAACGAAGAAAACGCTTTCGTTTTGTCTGACCCAATAGAAGGCATTCTTGTTGTTAACAAACCTTTGGATTATGACCATGGAATTCGCGAATTCAAACTACATATTCAGGCTACAGTAAGTACTAATTGAATTCTAGACTAAATTATACAAATAGGTGAGTGAAATATTACATACATCATACATTCACAAAAACAGGCTATTTTCAAGTAATTTAAAAAATCTCGACTTTGTCCGTCTACAAACACCTATATTTCATGTGACAAGCATTGAATAATTTCAGAAAATTACAGTCAGCAACTTCTTAGAAAAAACTATTATGATTGAATTAAACTAGGATTTTAAAAAATGAATCATGAAAGGGCAACGCCACATTAGTGTATGGTTATAGGCCTAACATGTGCTAAGCCTACTTTTAGCTTGTTAAGAATTGTGCCCATTTCTCCATTAATTAACGTATACATACTAAATTGTAACCTCCTCGTCTCCAAGAGTATTATATTAGCTTTAACAAAATTATATTGCCAGCTGTATTAAAAAACAAAACATTTTTATCATGATATTAAGTCACTTGTGTTTATCTTCTTTAACTTATAAAAATTAATGCACCATTTCTATTTATGCAACGCGTTTTGATGTATTTCAGATAAAAGGTGAAATGTTTTAAGAGTAGCTCTCTTTTTATCGAGCTATTCCAAAATTCCATTTTATTCTTGTTTTATAGGATCACGGAAGTCCCCAAAGCTTGAGTACAGTCACAACCATGACCATCAAGATTAAGGATGCTGATGACCAGAACCCAGTTTTTACGCATGAACTATATACAGCTCACGTAACAGAAACCCCAGTTATAACAGTAAGTTTAGTAGCCTGCTCATTTTATCTTTTCTTTATTTCATTCTCTTTCTCTCTTTTACGAATATAAATTTAAATGTTTCATCGCTGGACAAGATGTATTGAATGAAATGTAAGTGGTTTACGCTGGCGTTGTAGATCTAACTAGAAACTAATATGCATGTTTTATATACCAAGTTATAATTACATCGATGACCAAAGAAGTGTGATATAATTGTCATTGCTGTAAGTCAGTGTTGTATATTAAACCAATAATGAGAATGTAAACTCTTGTAAATCCAGTTAAAATCACATGGACTTAAAGTTCATCCACTAAGTAACAATGTGTTGGTATACACTTACTTCTCAAGAGTTTCAAATTATGTTTTGACTTTTTGTGTTTAATTTTGTTGCCTATGTCTGTGTTTCAATTAAGTGCAGTAATACTCTTTGACCAGTCCTAAACTATCCACACTAGCATACATATTTGTTCTCCATTTGAGGTCCCTAAACTTTAAATGTATTTAGCTTTACGTATGATTAAACATGCTAATGATTAAGTTGAATATATTTTAAAAGGACACTAAGTTATTCAGGAGTTTTCTTGTTTCAACTTTATAAATGCATGATCACTTGTGTTGGCGTGCCAAAATTATGAAAGTTTTTGTTGGTTTAGAGTCCTTTAGCTTTTCATTACTAAAATGATTCTAAAAGGAATTCACAGAAAGTGTTGAAAAATAAGAGCCCATTTTTATGCTCCTTCTATAAACATAATAACGGTGTCATTACAGCATGACAATTTCCAAGGAATGTTCTTCACAACTTACTATAAAAAACTTATTTCTCACATGAATTTTTCATTTCCATAGATAAACTGTAAATAAATGTATAAAACGTATATAAAGTTGGTACTGGTCAGACAAACTGTGAATAAATGTATAATACTCATAGAAAGTTCGTGCACTATCCAGACAAACTGTAAATAAAAGTATAAGGCTTATAGAAAGTTGGTGTTGTTGAGACAAACTGTAAATAAAGGTATAAAACCTATATAAATTTGGTGGACTGTTCAGACAAACTGTGAATAAATGTATAATACTCATAGAAAGTTCGTGCACTGTCCAGACAAACTGTAAATAAAGGTATAAAGCCTATATAAAGTTGGTTCTGTTCAAACAAACTGTAAATATGTGTATAAGACCTATATAAAGCTGGTGCACTGTTGAGACAAACTGGAAATAAAAGTATAAGGCTTATAGAAAGTTGGTGTTGTTGAGACAAACTGGAAATAAAAGTATAAGGCTTATAGAAAGTTGGTGTTGTTGAGACAAACTGGAAATAAAAGTATAAGGCTTATAGAAAGTTGGTGTTGTTCAAACAAACTGCAAATATGTGTATAAGACCTATATAAAGCTGGTGCACTGTTCAGACAAACTGTAAATAAAAGTATAAGGCTTATAGAAAGTTGGTGTTGTTGAGACAAACTGTAAATAAAGGTATAAAACCTATATAAATTTGGTGCTCTGTTCAGACAAACTGTAAATAAAAGTATAAGGCTTATAGAAAGTGGGTGTTGTTGAGACAAACTGTAAATAAATGTATAATACTCATAGAAAGTTCGTGCACTGTCCAGACAAACTGTAAATAAAGGTATAAAACCTATATAAATTTGGTGCTCTGTTCAGACAAACTGTAAATAAAGGTATAAAACCTATATAAATTTGGTGCTCTGTTCAGACAAACTGTAAATAAATGTATAATACTCATAGAAAGTTCGTGCACTGTCCAGACAAACTGTAAATACATGTATAATACTCATAGAAAGTTCGTGCCAATTTCTCATAGTCAGAACTGAGGGCTTTATGCGTTGAAACCAGGGATTTCGAGACCTGTGCTGGGTAAAGCGCAGATAGCCAATGTTGTTGCTTTTCGCTCAAATATAAACAAACATAATTAAAGCGAGGATGATCGGTATCTGAGAATTGGCTCAAGGACTTTTTTCAGTATTTTACTATGTATAAGCATTCCTGATAATCTACGAATATTTCCAACGCCTACTGATTAATAACAATGGGATGTAACTGTTATAGTTTCTTGAACATACCTTATACGTCCTGTGTTTAGAGTATTAGTAAATATACATATATTCAGATATGGAAAGATAGAAATATATAAAACTTATTGTAATTTTTCTCATGTGGAATTTGATTGGGTGAAGTTGCTTGAGCAAAGATTCCAAGGAAATATAAAACATAATAAAGTAGCTAAATGGGTTTCATTTAAAGTATAAATTCACAAAAGATGACAGGGATGATACGCTTATTACCCAAATACTTTATCTTAACTTTCTAATAAAAAAAAGCTACCTATGTATATAAGAACTAAAAATTAATCCAGTAAATAACATAGATATTATACCGGTCGGACTTGTAATGTCATAAAATAAACACTTATACTGATTACAATACAATTTTTCCCTCCTTTGTGTGTCCTCGCTGTCAGCAACATTTTCAGTTAGAGATCTGAGGAAGTTATAAATATATGCATATACTTTTTAAAGTTTAAAATGTTGCCAAACATAAAAGTATAATATGTTCCAAATATATTTCGGAGTCTAAAGCATAGAAAACCTAAGAAGATTTTGTTGCAGGGCGCCACCAGACGACAGAAAATCAAGGTTGATCCACCGATTCACGCCTACGACCTAGATGCTGGCATTAATGCCCGAATGCGGTATAAAATTATTCTAGGTAAGAGTATGAACATGCTTTATTTATACAATAATAATAATTGAGGGGAATATTGCACCATGGAAAGGTTTTTTGTTAATAAGTAAAACGTTTACGATAGAAAAGCTACGTTTGTGTGTCTCTTGATAAATAAACATTTTATAATAGTGTAACAAGTCGTGAGAAATGTATGATTTATTTCTAACGTTTATTTTACCAGCTAGAGTAAAGATCATTTAAGAATGATAATTTTTGGTTATCTTTACGGTGTATTTATCTGCAAGACATTAAATTTGGCAGTGGATATATCAGTTGAGATACATCCAAATTTATATTTCAGTATATTTATCTGCAGGAATTTAAATTTGGCAATGTATAAACTGGCTGAGATAAATCCGAGTTTATAATGCAGTGTAATTATCTGTAGGATGTTAATTCCACGCATGTACATAAGGGGGATTGAGGGGGTTTGGTCAAATCCCCTGTTTTTGTGAAGTAAAAAAAAAGACTGCCACTAAGTTAATATTCATGTGAACGTTGGGCATCTGCTCTCTGAGGTATACACAAACCGAAGAAAGACCGATCGCTCTAGCTTTAATACATAATCATTATGACACTGCTATCAACATTGACACTGTATGTAACTTATTTATACTAAAACACCCCATAAAAATGGAGCATGTTAACATGTTATTCCAATATTGCATATATGTACATATATGACAGCCAATATGACAGTTCTTTAATTTAGTAATATAATTTAACAATTAATAACTACTCTGCATGTAGATACTTTACTGTAATAAAACATACATATTTATGCTAATTTAAGTCTAGTGTTAAAATAGAATGATGATTTGTTGATTTTTCATTGGATGCTTGTGGATTTTATGCGAACATCCATGCAATTGTTTAAGCTACATTTCATGTAAAATTACATCCAAATTTAATCTCATAGCATCTACTGTTTTTTAATTTTCTAGGAGGGCATGCTCCCAGATCCACCGTAGTATTAGCATGTTTTTCATGCTGATTGTGATTCGCACAATATGTGTTGGCTTTTAATCTCACAAATTAAAACCCCCTTTCAAACATTCTGTGCACGGTCCTGAATTCTGGGAGCGTCTATTACGACTGAAATCGAGTTTTTACTTACGGTATATTTATCTATAGAACACTAAGTCTGACAACTTATATACCGACTGAGATACTTCAGAGTTTATAGTTGCAGTATATTTATCTATAGAAACTA